ATAGATTCTATATATTTAATTTTTATTTAATTTCTATAATTCAATAGATATATATTCAAAAATTATATTTAAACTTTATCTTTTATAGGAAGATAAATAAATTATATTAATCACATAGATATAAATGAAAATACATATTAGGATTTTAAGTTTCTATTCATTTTATTATTTTTGTCATTGAAAATAATAGAAATTATGATTCATATGAACTATTGCATATTAATAAACATTAAAATTAAATTTTATAATTAATAATGATTTTAAATATTATAAAAAGAAACAAAAAATAAACAAAAGAAAATATTGATTATTTCATACGAAAATCTTTGTGTACAAGATTGATAATATGTATAATTTAATAAATAAAAAATCTCTATATGATTATCGATATAATATTTTAATAAAATTTAAGCTCGAATAAATTTTAATACATAATTTTTTACTAAAAATAGCAAATAATGTGAAAATTTTTAAACTTAAAAATTAATTGATAATTATCCATAATTATTCACAATTATAATAATAATATTCATATTATTTTTCTGACCAGCAGAAGAATAGTGTAGTAAATTAAGATCAATAAAATTATATTTTGTTGCTTTTACGAACGTTCAACGTATCGTAAAATATGGAAGAATTTTTAAAAATCATGTAGAAAACATTCATGATTATGAGAAACTTACAATCCAACTTTAGAAATGTAAACATAAAATAATTAATTTGTAAAAGATATATGATAATAATAAGACTATTTGATCTTTTTCGATCACAACAGTTATTTAAGTTGAAAATGGATGATTAGTGAAATGTTTTTACTGAATGATTGAATTTAAACGATGAGATCTTCTGCGTTGTCGAGATGCTTGAGTTATCAGATTGTCTTCCCCAATGCCATTGAGAATATCGGTTAGTCATCTGATAAATGCAGTTTTATAACTTTTGGTTGTTCGTGCACTGTAAGTCATAGAAAGAAATCGAAGCAGTTCGTTAGCCATTTTAGTGTTATTTAATATCTAAATTTCAAATGTAATTTATTTAATTTCATAGAAAAAAATGATAATTGTATTTAACAAAAAATTATTTTAAATTTGAACTTTTATACAATTTAAAATTTTGCTAATCAATTTTATATACAAAAATTAATAAATATATAACATTATTATTTTTGTTTTTTTTAAATTTAATAATGTCTTAATAAAGATTATATTATGTTTTGAATAAAGATTTTTTGTCAATACATGCAACATTTAATATTAATAAAAAGCTACATGCAAGTTTTTGTTAATGATAAATATAAGATTTATAAATATAATTTTTTAGATTTTTCTATATATATATTATATACAATTAATTATTAAAATAAAAATATTTATAATATTATAATTTATAATATATATGATGTATTTAAAAATTGAGAAATTGCATCAAAAAAATAAAATTACAAAGCTGACTCATGTAATAATTATTTCAATAAAAAAATATATTTATATTTATATTTATTTTTAAATATATGAAAAAAAATTTAAGATTAAAAAAAACTTGTTTAAAAATTTTAAGTTAAAAATTGTTCATAAAAAGAACTATATAACTGTTACTTAATAAACATTTTGAAAGTAACAGTTACAAAGAGACTTACTGTCTTAGAGAATGATAGCGATTTACTCGATCTGCAGACCTGAGAATCATATTCATGCCTCGCTGCGGTTGTGTAATCAAATTATTTGCAGATGCATTTGTAGTTTGAGTCTCTGTGAGGCAGGAAGTTTTTATACTGGCCCTTGTCACTGGTTTTGATACAGACATTGATGTAACACGTGTATTAGAAGATGTATTGTTGTTGATATTATGAAGTCGTGTTGTTGGTTTAGTAGACTTTACACGATGTGAAGGTTCACATGTACTATTCACTAGCCAATTATTTCTATAATTTTTAGTATATTGTGAGTTTACATTTACTTGTATAACCTTCATTAATTATAATACAAAACTAACAAAATTTAAAAATAAAAGAAAAAATTATTTTAAATAAATAATAATAAAATTTAAGAAATTTATGAATTGAATTAAATAAAATTTAGTTCTTAACCTTTTAGAGATTGTAGTTGTAGTAGTAGATCTAGGAAGGAGTCTTTTTGTTGAATCCTTTTCTTTATTTCCACTTAATGTATTAACTGTACTCTTTTGAGTTCTTGTTTGTAATAATGATCTTAAATAAGGACTAAAAAAAATAATATTTATTTATTAATTATTCTATTTTGTTAATAATTAATAAAATTAATAATTATATTATATTATTATATTATATATATTATTATATTATATATAATTAATAAAAACAAATAATAAATAAAATTATATTATGATACTTACTTTACTACTGTTGATGGTCTAGAAGTTGTATTTAAAGAAGTATGATTCGTTGGTAAACGTTTTCTTTTAGCTTTTATTTGATTCAATTTATCACCTTGAGTTAAGGTAGTACTAGTACTTGCATGATCATCTAATGTAATTCCATCTACACAATGCATTATTCCTGAAACATTATCTTGCATCACGTGAGCGGTTTTTAGACTGGATAAAAATGATGTCTTTGGTCTACCAATTATAGAATATATTCCATATTCATGAACTGGTTTTCCATTCTGAGCTTGTAATGGTTCTTTTAGTAAAGAATGAAGATATGCTTCTTTTCTAAAATATAGAATTTATGATCTTTTTTAATATCAAAAATTAAATTATTTCTAAATTATAAACTGAAAACATTGATATATTGATACATACTTTTCTAACCATTCCTGTTGATGTCCAATTACTGAACCTGGCCTACATATTCGTATCCATGCAATTGTTTCATGAGCTGTTAAATGATAATGTTTCATAATATAACAACCTATCAATGAACCTGTTCTACCAAGTCCAGCTCTACAATGTACAGCAACAGCGCCACTTGCATTTTCTGCTATTTTAAGAAATTGTCGCATGATTGAATCTGTTGGAGTTGAACCATCAAGAAAAAACAAATCTTTATGATCAAATCCAGCATCCGTAAAGATTGAAGCATCATAAATTTTTTTATTAAGACGTATAATTGTAGTTACATTATTGTAATGGAAATATGTAAAATATGATTCTGGTGCATGAAGTGGATATCCTAATAAATAAAAAATAATGAATTCAAAAAATATGAATAAAAGTATTTATCATAATTTAATCTAAAATTAAACTTACCATTTTCTATTTTGAATTTAGCATAAGGGCCGCAAAATGCTATAAATTTACCAGGAATAATCCAATTTAAATCTCCATTTTCCACTCTTTCAAAATATTCATATTCTTTAACACAAAAATCTTGAAAATTAAAAAATCCAAGTTTGTGACACTTATATATAGCACTGAGACACTCAATCAAAGATATTTCAAACCATGGTGTACCAACAGAAGCATCTCGAAACATTATAAATGATGGACTATCAGGATTATTGGTTAAGCAATTATATGCTTCTTCTGCAGTATGTTTACAATATAATATCTAAAAAATACATATTGAATAAATTTTATTTTTTTTATATATTTTATATATTTATATATTTATCAACATGAATGCAATTAATATAAAAATATCCTACAGCATAACTTCCTATAAGAAAAGCAGCATTAACTCTCTTTGCTGGATCCATTATCGTATAATGTACAATCTTTTTCTTTCTTAATGTTACTGCTTTAAGTTTTTTATTAACTTTTTGACAATAATGATATAACATAGCAAGATTTAATGGACCAAAATCATCATAGAAATTTTCATAAACCAATTCATCATCAATACTGAAATAATGGGTGTTTGGAGTACTCTTTGGTTTTGTCATTGTCTTCAATGTGACAAAATATAATCGATCTATAGCATAAAAAAAATATAAGTGATAAATACATTAAATATTATGATATTTTAATTATATTCTTTTTAAAAATTTGTTACCTTTTATGAATTCTGAAGCACATAATAATAAGTCATTTGTATCCTCCATTATTGGTTTGTATATATTATCTGATGATGTGAATACCAACTGAACAAGCCTGTCATCAGCGTAGCCGATATAAGAAAGGATACAATTTAATTAACACAATCAGAGATCATAAATATAAACACACAGAAGGTTAGAGTAGATGTAGTAAAGGTAAACTGGATCCATCTACCTACACACGGTTATATTTGCATGGTATGTGTAATACGAACGAATTCATAATTAGAATGCTATACACGATAATACGATATATTATATTAAAAAAGTGTTTGTACTTACCTATACGACCGTTACAAGATTCAAACTTGGTCAATGAAGAATTGATGATGGCTGATCAATTACGTTATAGATCTCTTCCGGTTTATTGCATATTGAAGTATATGTTATTTTATAATTAACATATTATATTTTTTTTTACTATTCAAACATAATCATTTTATAAAATATTGATCAAATATTTATTCATTATATATACAATATATCATTATCCTTTATAAGAATAAAGAGTAGTTTTTGAATATACTGCCATGTTGGTTATCCCGTAATGTAAAACTACGACGTATGAATTCAATATCTAGAACAAGAAACATTGTGAAATGTTCACTAATATTACGAATATCTTATATAATATTTTAAAAACTTTAAACTGAAATACAATAAATGTTAAATATTTATAACAATTATATTGTGTTAATTTTTATTCTTTATTTACATAGATTAAACAATTATTCCATTAATTATAAAATAGCGCACTCTATTAAATAAAAATTCCCTATATTTCGTATCAATTATTATTAGTTTTTTTTTAATTTTAATTTTAAATTTATTTGTATTTATATTTATATTTATAACAGATATTTTAATTTTAATTTAAATATCTTTTGAATTTATTATTTATAAATTATTATGTTTTTGTATCTCTTAGTTACATATTTAAATAAGAATTTTTGAATAAACATCTTTTTATGACATCTGTTATGTTTTTATTCTTTGGACTTCTACCAATTGCGCCGATCATTTATTGGTGTAATTTTAGTGTAATAAATCGCAATCATAACTTAATAATCATATTTAAGCGAAATAGAATAAATCTTTATAGATATAATTATAAGACGTTGTTTAGAATATGGTTCGGAATGACGTTTTTCGATATTAATTGAATGAAAAAAAAAAAAGATAAAATGGAAAGTAAAGAAAATACTCAGACAAATGTATTTTTGTCAGAATACATACCTTCAAAAACATTTATATTTTCTGAACCATATACATTTAATGCTCCTAAGCAGATAATGGATATATCTGGGAAAAATTCATTTACTTTTGCTATGCCAATATTAGCAACACAATCTAATAATCAAGATATATGTGTTTTTCAACCGGATATATGTGAGAAGCAATATAAACCAAAAATTTCAAGAAATTCTTATAAATCTGCTGTTAATGTATTTGCTCAAGCACTTAAAGATACTGCAATGTTTGAGCAATTAAAAAAAAATTCTAGATCACAAATTACTAAAATTAATCCAGAAAATTCAATAACATGTACAAATGTACCTCAATCATTACTTACTAAAGTAACAGCAAAAGAATATTTTATTCAATTCGGAAATCTTTTAAAAATAACTATACGTCCTAAAAAACAAATAATTACAGTTATCTATGCTACCAACGAAGAAGCAAATGTAGCTTATAATAAAAGTGGTGAATATTTGGGTGAAAAATTTAATATAGAATGGACAAAATTATCTTCTTTGCCAAAATCTCCTACAAAGAAAAAAGATTTACAAAAAAATATTGTATCACAAATTGTATCTAATTTTTTTAAATCATCAGATGATGAAATCAGATCAGAAATAGATGCTATGACAAATTTAGAATATAATGTACACAGTAGAAATAATTTTAGTGGAACTTTAAGTAAAAAACATAAACCATTACAATCAAAAAATATATCAAAGTCAGTTACAAGATTAACAAAAGCTGAAAAACATAAATCTGATAGTCAAATATCTGATCTATTACCTAATGCCACAATTGAAGAACTACAAAATATAATTCAACAACCTGCACATACTTCCGAAGATAGATATAAAGTATTAGAAGCAAGAGATCGACTTATACGAATGAGACAAGTTAGATCACATACATTAGCAGCAGCTAAAGTAATGATTGGAACATGTCCTGATATGTGTCCTGAAAAAGAACGTTTAATGCGTGAATCAAAAAGACAAGTGGCATTATACGAACAACTTGAAACCAATGAATATGGAATAAATCATATGAGAGCAGTCAAACAATATTCTAGATCTTCTGCAGATCAAGAAGAACCAATGGCTCATGAATTAAGACCAGTAAAATCTTTAAAAATGACTATGAGTTATTTATTACATGAAATAGTAAATCTTTGTGATAAACAAGGAACAAACTTGGGAGACTGGTATTATTTTTTATGGGATAGAACAAGAGGAATTCGAAAAGATATAACACAACAAGAATTATGTTGTATTGATAGCGTGGAATTAGTTGAACAATGTGCTAGATTTCATATAGTATGTTCTGAAAGATTATGTGCTGAAGAAACATCTGTTTTTGATAAAAGAATCAATTCAGATAATTTAACAAAATGTTTACAATCATTAAAATATATGTATCATGATTTGAGAGTAAAGGAAATTAATTGTAAAAATGAACCTGAATTTTGGGCATATATTATTTTATTAAATTTAAATAATGGCAATTTTATGTGGGATTTACAAAGATTGCCAAACAATATACAAAAATCATCAGAAGTTCAATTTGCATTAGAAATATATTCTGCTCTTGAATCAAATAATTATTATAAATTTTTTAAACTTGTTCAAAAAACTACATATTTAAATGCATGCATCTTACTCAGATATTTTAATCAAGTAAGATTAAAAGCATTATCAGTATTAGTCAAAGCTTATTGTAGAACGGCATCAACAGCATATCCATTATACGAATTGATTGATATTTTAGGTTTTGAGGATGAAAATGAAGCTATATATTTTTGTGAACAGGTTGGTTTAAGCGTTTCAAAAGATGACTTACACGTATTATTGAATCGACATAATTTTAGTATGCCTGTATTAAATATAAAACAAAAGAGAGCACACAATTTAATAGATTCTAAAAGAATTATACAACATTTATCTATTGGAGAATGTATAGCAGGAGGAAAAATGCCAGAAAAAACTTATAAATATCATAAACCTCACAATAGTTTTGATTTACATGGTTATTTAATGCCTAATTCTATTAATGCAGAAGATCAAAATAAAAATATTATTTTTACATCAAATGATCCATATGAGTTTAGAGATGAAGATGTAGTACAAAATGAATCATTAAAAGAAATATTGGAAAAAAGTCAAAACAATAATGAAAATATGGTTAATATTGAACACACAACATTAAAATGTATTTCAAACATTGAAGCAGATACAAATCTTTTAACATCCATAAAATCTAATTCTGATGAATCTTGTCTCTCTAAATCTCATGCAGAAATCAATAAATCTCAGACACACACAAATTTGAACATATTAGTAAAATCAAAACCAGAAAATCAGAAAAATTCAAACACATTTAGTTTCATATCCAAACAGCATTTAAATGAATCTTCTGTTTCACCTAATATATTTAATGTAACATCAACAATTTCAAATACTTCTAATGTATTTGCTAAACAATTTGAATCGTCATCAAATCATGATAAATCTCCTTTTGTAATAACTATAAATAAAAACATATTTTCAACAATGCCACAAGGAAATATATTTACGAAAAATCTTACACCTTCCACTGTTCCAAAATCACTAAATATTATAAATTCTGTAAGTATGACTAAAAATATATCAAAAGAAGCACCAGAATTTATGAATAAAACCGAAATAAGAAAACAAATTGTACAAGATGAAAAAATAGAAAAATTAAAAGTAGAACAAGAATCTATTAAAAAAACACAAGAAATTAATGATACTGCAAAAGATATTTTAAATATTTTAGAAACAGAAATAATAAAAACATGTTGTTCTACTATAGTGAAAGAAGAAATGGATAAAATATATATTTACAATACACTTGGTGAAGATATTAATAATAAAGTTTTAAATGAAGTAACTTATGAAATTTGCAATAATTTATTAAAGGAAGAAATCAATGTTCAAAAATTATATGAAATGTCAATGAAAATAAAAAATAGAGTAATTATAAAATATTTAAAAAAGTGGAAATGTAATACATTAAAAAAAAAACAACAAAGAAGAGCATTAGAAAATACACCAGTATGGTTACAAAAATATTCTAGTGAACAATGTGCAAAATTATTATACTCTAAGGAACAAGATATAGTTATTAAAAACATGTGTAAAAAACAAGATGAACAAAAAGATATCAAATATTATTTTGAATCTTTAGCACCAATTAAAGTTATTATTTACATTGGTATTAAAGAATACTTAAAAACTTTAGACATTAATATACAATCCAACTATTATTGGAAATTAGTTATTTCATGGCCAAATTTACACAATAAAACAGTTTTATGGCATTATAAAAAAATAATGAATCAATATCTTTGTCCTGAAGATTATACTACAGAACCTATTATAATATTATATCAACCAAATCAAGTTGAAACATTGCATATATGTATTAGACATTTTGAAGGTCTTATTAGCGATCATAATTTAATAGGATCAGACGCTCTTTTATTCATAGCAGATGCTTCTGAAGAAATTAAATTTGTTGTAAAACGTTTAATGAATGCTGTATTAGCAAGAGATAAACTTATGCCTATACCACTTGTATTTATTATTTTTGGTCATTCAATCTTTCAAACCCAAGATGGAGAAATTATTTCTAGTTTGGAAAAATTGTTGAAATCTGGATATTTATCAGTATACACAATTATCCATGAAAAAGATTTGACTGAGAAAACAATTTTAAATTTAACACAAAGTGCAATACTTTGGTTATCCATAAATAAATCTTCTCAAAATCCACTAGAAATGAATTATTTACAAAATATTTATGATACTTATTTAACAGAAGATTTATGGTTAAGGTATTATAATTAAAGAAATATTATTTAATAATTTTTTTTATTTATTTCATTATCTTTAAAATCTTATTTATATAATTTTTGTATTTTTATATTTTCTACAGGATATATGATAACTCATTTTTTAATGAAAAGTTATTACATGCTTTAGAGGAACCTAATTTTATAATTAATTTACATAATGAAGCAGTTTCTCATATAATAGATATAATATTAAGCCCAGAAACTTTTATGTATACAAAATTTGCTCCAGAATTAAAAAAATTTGTCAAAAATCAATATATGATGCCATGTAGTTATGAATATTTTGATGATGTTTGGAAAAATGAAGATTATAAAGCAAAATTAGAAAAAGTGATGTCTAGTTTTAAGCTACCTCAATGGAAGTAAGAAATATAATTAATTTTTGTATTATATTTAATATTAGTTTATGAATTTAATTAAATTTATATATATATTTATTTTAGGTATTCATGGCCTATAAATAATAATATCATATTTCATCAAAATATAACAAATTACTGTCAAGAAGCATTATTTATTTCTGACAGTAATGAAATATCTTGTAATATATTAAGTAACATTTTTATTACAACAGGAATTTCCACTATATCAAATTTTATCAACATTTTATTGTATATTATTAAGCAAAAAATACATCTTCTTGATAAAGATTTAAAAGTAATCTATAATAAGAATTATATGAAATACTTTCAGACATTACCATGGTGGTTGAAATCCAATCTATTAATTCAATATAAGATTGTATCAAAAAATGTTAATATTCAAGAAACTGAAAAAGAAAATAGAAAAAAGAATAATATTAATGAACCAGTAGTAAAAAAACGGAAATTAAATAAATATCAAGAAAGTAATGTTGAATTTGAATCATTAGCAACATTTTGTGAAAATAGTCGTAGTCAAATTATGGAAGTGCATTGCATTTCAAAAAAAATTGAAAATCGTTTAAAGGAACATCAACAACAAAGTTATTCATTTGAAAAAAAATTAAAAGATGCTTTATTTAATGAATATTTAATGAAATGAAATATTTTTTAACAAAATGTAACATATAAAAAAGTTAATATTATATTTATAATACTTTATAAAATCTATTGTGTTTACAGTATTATATAAGAAATAATGAATTCATGTATATACTATAAGTAATATTTAACTCTTTAACATATAATTATATCATATAATTCATTCCTCTGAATATTACATTGTAAAAAATAAATGGGTAAAGTATAATATTTATTACAAAATTGTGAAGTTATATATTATTTTAATTATGAAAATTGAAATGAATAGTATTTTTATTCCTTTTACTCAGAAAAAGTAAATATTGTATTGCTAAGAAATGCTCTGAAGTTTTTGGATTATACAAAAGCAAATCTGTACAAATCTATTTTTTTTATTTATCTTCATATGATACTACTATTCAATGTTATTTATGTAATGTAAAATTATGTTATGTAAATCTTAATTTTCAGTTACATACATCCATATTTTTGTGATTATATTTACCTATCAAATATATTCAATTATATTTATATTTCTTTTAAGGATTTTTTTTCAACCAATTATTAGGTATTTATTTGTTTATATATTATTTTAACAAAGAATTTGGTTATAAGATGGCATCAAATATTTACAAGGTCTTTTCATATATAATTTCTCATTCTTTTGGTAAATTAATTAAATTAATTAATATAACAATATTTTTAATAAAGAATAAGTAAAATTATTATATATTATTTATTTATTTTTAAGATATCATAAAAGATATATAAGATAACATATTAGATTTTAAGATTTACTATATTATTATAAGCTATTTTGTTTTAATTTTTTAATTAGTTTTTTTATTTTATGTGATTTTCTTATTTTTCAAGATTTTCTTTCACATAACTATTGTATTCAGGAAAAATTATATTTATTTAAACAATGAGTTATTTCATATTTTCTGTTTTTCTTTGATTTATGAAAAAGAAAATTGGATAAAATATATAATATTAATAATATATGTATAGTAGATAGTAATGTGCAATAATATACTAATATACTAATAAATATATAATAATAATGATTAACTTAACTTTAAATTGAAATTTATGTATATATTAATATGCACAAATATGCATAATAAATTATTATATGAATATATTGTATTATTGTATAAATCCTTAGAGACATAATGTTTACAAGAAATATAGATATAATATAGTGCATCTATATTTAAAATGCAAATTATAGCAAAATATTTATATTTTTACTAAAGTTTTGTATATTTTTGATGAAGATTTGATATAAGTTGATATACAAATTTTTATATATTTTTGGTATCAATTTATTAATATAACTTGATAACCAAATTTTAAATCAAATTTGGTATCATTTTGATAATAAAATTTATATTTATATTTATATTTATTTTGATAAAAAATTTGGCAAAAATAGAATTAATTTAAAGATATCTATAGACATATTACAAAAATATATTTAATTTTTATTTTCTAAAATGATAAAAGATAATATTAAAATAGAATTAATTAATTAATCAATTAAATATATATTATATATACATATAACAAAAATAATAATAATTGTAAATTTATTTAAAATATTATTTTCTGTTTATAACAATATTATTTTCTGTTTATAAAATTTTAAGTTTTTGTTAATAAAGATTTTAAATATTTCATTAATATTCATTATTTTTGAAAATGCTCCTTTACTTCTACTGCGACCTCTATTGGAAAATTATTATACAAAAAGTTTTAAATTTTAACGAACTTTTTAAATGTTCAGTATTTTATTCGCTTTAAGAATTGTGTGACTAAAGAATTTAGTGTTTTTTAGTGTGTCATTGTAATTCTTAATCTACATATATTGATGCTCTTTCTACAATAATAAAGTTTAAATTGGAAATAAAATAATTTAATTATTTGTAAGATGCAGTAATGTTTTATAAGTGTGCGAGTTAATTTATATTTTAAATTTTATTTATTCATTATTTCATATTTTTAAATTAAGTGAATATTTAAATTTTGAATTAACATCATTATGTCTCATTTAAAATATATGAAAGAAATAAATAATTTAACTCGCATGGATGAAACTATTAAGGGACCTCTTCCACGTTGGCAAAAAAAATGTTTAGAAACATCAAATTCCAGGTATTACTTTATTATTTTATTAAAAATAAAATATATATCTCTATATTACATGTATTTATACAGTGTCAACATTAATTCATCGCGAAAAATTTCAAATGGATCATTTGCAAATAGTACTACAGGAAAAACACCAACAAAAAAGAATGATAATCGAACGAAAAAGACACCTTCTAAAACTTCTAAAAAATCTCCAAGTATGAATTATTTTTATAATTTAGGATAATTAATATATAGTGATAGAATTTCTACATATGACTAATATATAATGATACATATAAAAAAGTTCTATGTAGATTTTAAATACTATCTAATTAGGTCATACTTCTACACCAGCTAAAACACCTAGTGGTGGTGATAGATTTATTCCATCAAGATCAACTACTAATTTTGATCTTGGTTATTATAAGGTACATGTATAATTTTTTAATATAAATTTTGTCATTTTAATATAATAATAAAATTCATTAAATATATTTTTTTTTAATTTTTTCAGATTCAACAACAAACAAATGCAGAAAAAGATGAAGAAAAACTAGACAATGCAAGTCCTTCCAAAAGGGAAATGCAGCGACTTATGGGAGAAAATTTGCATGGTGGTGATATTAATCAAATGAGAGTTTTATCTTATCAAAATAAAGCACCAGCTCCTCCAGAAGGTTATCAAAATCCATTGCGTGTTGTGTATAGTCAAAGTAAAACACCAGCAAGCATAAAAACTTCTACAAGATATATACCACAAAATCCAGATAGAATATTGGATGCTCCAGAAATTGTTGATGATTATTGTAAGAATCTTTGTTCAATATTTATTATTATTAAACAATCATAAAAATTTATAAATTTATTTCAGATTTGAATTTGATTGATTGGTCAGAAAGTAATATTTTAGCTGTAGCATTAGGTGCTAATGTATATTTATGGAATGCTGCAACAGGAACTATAGAACAGTTACTTGAATTAAATGGTAATGATTATGTTTGCTCTGTTGCATGGATTCAAGAAGGTCCATATTTAGCTGTAGGCACTACAATAGGAAATACAGAACTATGGGATTGTAGTCAAACAAAAAGAATACGTGTAATGAATGGACATGCAGCCAGAGTCGGTTCTCTTTCTTGGAATTCACATATTTTAACAAGTGGTTGCAGGTAAAAATTTTTATAATACATATTAAAATAGAAATGTTAATACATGTATTTTATACAGAGCAGGACAAATAGTGCACCATGATGTTAGACAAAGAGACCATTTAATATCAACAATTAATGCACATGTTCAAGAGGTATGTGGTTTAAAATGGTCACCTGATGGAAAGTATTTAGCAAGCGGTGGTAATGATAATATGCTTCAAATATGGCCATCAGTGTCTGTACAAAGTCATACAAACACACAACCAATTTATTCACTAAATCAACATCAGGCTGCTGTAAAAGCTCTTGCATGGTGTCCATGGCAAAGTAGTATTCTTGCTAGTGGAGGTGGTACTGCTGATAGAACAATTCGATTTTGGAATTGTAACACAGGTAAAGAAAATAATCAAAACAATTGTATATATGTCATATATATAATATCCATAATAATAAAAATATTAATTTCATGAAAAAATTTTTTTTATTATTTAATATTTATACAATAGGTGTATGTTTAAATATGGTAGATACCAAATCACAGGTGTGTTCTTTGCTTTGGTCTACAACATATAAAGAAATTGTATCAGGCCATGGATATGCACAAAATCAATTAATAATTTGGAAATATCCTGCAATGACGAAAGTTGCAGAACTTACAGGCCATTCTAGTCGTGTTTTACACTTAGCGATGTCTCCAGATGGTACTACCATTCTTAGTGCAGGAGCTGATGAAACTTTAAGATTGTGGAAATGTTTCCAACCTGATCCATATAAAAAAAAAGATACAAATGAAATAAAAGCTGTTGCTTCTAGACTTAAACAATCAATTCGATAATGTTCTTATATTAATTTATATTTATTTTTTAATTGAATAATAAATGTGACTAATGATTTGTATTTTACTAGATGTGAAAACTTGTAATACAATTTCTAGTATCATTATTTGTTTATCAATGTATTTAAAATAAATTTGAAATACTTGGTACATGGAAGTATCGAGCCATTTTTAGTTATAGATATCTCATTTTTATAAAAATAATTATATGCATAAATAATATAAACCAACATAATTGACATTTGGGTATTTTTTTTATCTATTATAATAAAAACAAATAGAAATAAATATATAATTAAAATTATTTTTTTTTTGTATTTAATTTACTTTCGCATTGTATATAATATTTTAAATATGAAAAAAATATATTAAATCTCCCCACCTTTCATATAACGATATTAAAATTTTCAGAGAACCACTTCTTAGTCTAACCTTTCTTTGAAATGATTTGAGTAAACAATAATTCGTGTTAAAATATATCAACAATCTAAAATATTTTTATTTTAAAATTTAATAATAAGATAAATATTTTATAACAATTTTTGTTTTAAAAGAGAAGTATATAATAAAGTATAATAATAACAATTATATCAGAGAAAAAACTAGTGCATAAATCTTTACAATTTGATTAAAAAGAAATGGATGAAGGAAATTCTAAAAATATAATAATAAGATCGCAATGTAAATATGATCACATTTTTTCTTCAGAAAATGTGAAAGATGATAATGAGCATGACTGGTGGGCAAGTGATAGTGCATCAAGTACTGGATCATATTATTCAGATACAGATAGGTAATTATTATTGATACCTATTGATACCTATAATTATTAATTATAGATAATTAATATTTTAATCCTTTGTATTATTAAAATATATATCATTATTATATAATATATTATCAAATTTATATGAATTATTATAGTTCTACAGCAGAATGGGAATCGGAAATTAATTCTAATGGGGAATTGATTTATATAGAATCTGCAATAGATAATGTAAATGATGAACAATTTTCATTCACTATAACAAAACTTGATTCTCAACCAGAATTGATGCGACGTCGTAGTACAAGAGCTGGAAAACTCATGCGATTTATAAAACGAAAAGAAAGTAAACGTTTGAGTACAAGGAATAAAAAAAATAATTTTAATGTTACAGTAAATAATATTGGAAATTCAGGAAAAGATGGAACTACAAAGGAAGTTACTTTTAGAGACTTTCAAGTAAATAATTTCAATTATAATTTAAATATTTTTAAAA